GCCAAGAAGAGGACTTTGGAAGGTGAGAAGTTGCTTCTCCATAGTGTTCTTTCTAGCTTGGTCTTTGTGCATTCACAGCCTCCAACACTATCTGACTTCTTTTGCCCTGAGTTCTTTAAATTGAATGACTGTGGTTTGGAAGAAAAGCCTGAACAGCTCTGGGGAACTGCTCTTTAAATGTAGAGAGTGGTTGCTTTGCACAAAGTGACTTTGTATAGAGGAAAGGCCTTTTCTGGGCAGTTGAACCCCTTGGTGCTAGAGCACTCTATCTGATGAGAATGGATGACAGGAGCCTTGGACACCTCTTTGTGATAGAGGTGGCCTCTGGGTGTGTTCTGATTCGGGATGTGGTTGCATGTCTCAGGCGGCTTTCTCCTCTGCAGCCTGTCACTTCAGGGATGCCCTTTGGGTAATACCATGCCCCGCACTTGCTATCTTAACTCTTGTGCACAGACCGTCGCTCTCCGTCTACTGTATTCGCATAAAATGCTCCTTTCCTTCTCTGTATAGTCTTGTCATTGTGCCCCTCTGTGTTGGGTTGCCCTGTGCAAGTACCAGCATGGATTGCTGGGTGGCAATGAAGGTAGCCTTGTACTCACACATATTGGGAGAGAGAAGCACTTGGTGGATTTTTTCAGACCATGACAGCGCTGTTAAGAATCAGTGTGGCAGAATGAATTTTCTGATGTGGGACGTGATTATGGGTAGCGCATTCATTACAGCAAATGGTTTGTTTGTTTATTTTCCCCCCCCGTTACCTTACATTTTCATCGTATGGAATGAATGAAGCCAGCTTTCTAATGAGAGCCTTCTACAATCTGCAGCTGTATTTGCGGGAAGGGAGGGTGGGAGTCTTTAGTGGCCTGCAAGAGAGATTTTGCTTCACCAGGCTCTGCTGCTTTGTGTCAGGCTTTCATAAAAGCCCTGATTAGACTTAACCTGAAACGTGAAGGCAAAGGTGGTCATGACTGCACATAGTAGCTACAGATCTTGTGATGCTCTTCACAGATGAATGGTGTTTTATGCCTACTGTCCTAGCTGAGTTCTTGCTAATCTTTTTTGCCATTTGAAATGAATGATAGTAACGATCTTGTATTTGTAAAGTACTTATGAGAGATCCTGGTCTGCTTTGCTTATTTCCTTGTTCATTTTAAGAGCGTACCTAGCCAAATGGACCTCTGTGAGCCAGCGATGTCCCAATAAGCAGAAATTGCTTCATCTGGGCTCGTGGTCAGCTTTGGAGCGTGCAGCCCCTGGGCTGCACTCTGGCCACGAAATGTGACACACCTTCACGAGG